CCCAATTAGTGAAAATATTTGCGACTGGTATTTAAGAGTTTTCATTTGCATTGAAAAAACGGGTAGGAAAGTGTTTAACCAAAGAAATACTTTACGGAAAATAGGCATTCAAAAAGAACGTAGTTGATTTTCCATTAAAGGAACAACAACTCGAACACTTAATAAAGTTAGTATGCGTACAAAAAAGAAAATACAGTATAGCTGAGACTTATACTCATTCAGAAAGTGAATGGGGTGTATTGGTTTTACACATGATCCCACTTGGTCTCAGTTTGTCTCTCCGTCTAGACAGTTGAAACGTTTCACATATTACCGTTGGGAGATTATTCCCGATAAAGTGTTGGGGTTTGCTTAGATCCCCCAAATTTGATTGAAATAGAGCATACATTAAATATGAAATACAATCATATAGGAAATTACTTTTTATATAAAAGCATATTCTTAGTGACAAATTAAAAATTTTATATTGCAGTTTTAAAGAATAGTAACTGAAAACTTCATTAGGTTCTCTTAAGACTTACCCCAACTTATTTCAATATCTTTAGATCGTAAGCAATGCAATGTATTATGCAGTCAGAAACGCTCATCAACAGAATTCTTTCTAATTAAGCTCTCGCTGTCTACAGGGTATACAGCATTCCAAATGTCAGCAGGTCGAAAGGTCCATCGGCATTTCGTAGTCTCCATAATTAGTCTTTAAGTTGATTTCGCGCTTCACAGCGACGCACAAAGCCCAAGCGGATAAGACCAAAACAATATCAATTCAGCGTGTAAATCGCTGTCAGGACTTAAGTTTCAACTTTTGAGCTGGCATTAAAAACAGAGAAAGGGAGCGAAACCGAAAGAGAGAGATATATATAGGGGCAGACAGAGTAAATGAGATAGCAAGTAAGAGTATTAACTACTTAAAGCAAAGCCAAACAATTTTCATCAATATTCAATGCGGTTCAATGCGACGTGGGAGTGTGTATGGGTGTATGTACGTGTTCGTGTGTGTGTGTTTTCTGTCAGCGATTGCCACATGAAATGTTTTTCTTTTGCTTTGTCCACGTCCAGAGCTTATGTCCGGAATGGGCCATGATTAATGAACTAGATAAATGATATGAGACCAAAACAAAGAGCAACCGATACAAAGAGAGCCAGAAATTGATAGAGAGAGATACACAGAGAGGGAGAGCACAATAAGAAAAAAGCTCACTTCCTTATCTTATCTACCATTTCAATGCAACACACCTGAACGGAACACAACATGACTAACTGCCCGAGTGAGTGCGGGGAATGGACTGGAATGAGTGCCAGATGAATGTTCAGCATATGCTCAACTGAATGGGGACTAATGTTAAGGAAATTTATTGAAAACTAACCGGCGGTTCGAGAGATGCCCAAAGAATGACGTCACGGACGTAAACAATATGAAAGTATAAACAAAGAAATTGAAAAGGTAAGCAAAAATGGGAGCTAAAATCATATAAAATATCTTATACAAATGATAATGAAAATGCAAATGATAATAATTATTATAATGAAAATAATCACAGTAAAAATAAAAATAATTGAAAATGATGTGAGTTACAATGAATTTCAAAAGAGGAGAATAAGTCTCGTATGCATAATAATGAAAATAATAATAATAATAATGATCAATGCCTAGTCATGGAAGTAATGCGCAAAATAATGAGAATCGCTTGAATAATACAGTAGATAATAATAGTAATAAAAAGGCTAATAAAACATCTCATAGCAATGAAGACAATGACGATTATGATATAAATGGCCTGAGAATATTGGTGATGCCAATGATAATGAGTTAATATTTGGTTAATTGTAATTATTGTATTAATGTACTAGTAAGATTATGGATAGTTGTAAGGTAATGTTAATGACAATAATACTTATAATGCTAATCAAAATTATATACATGGATGTAGGGATAATGTTATTAATATAAATAGTACTACTAATGCTAATAGCCATTATTATGGACAACATAAATATTTCAAATAAATCTATATATTCCACATAAAACTCTCACTAAGCCTGGTCTACATCTATCTATCTGCCTCTACCTGTCTATGTTTCTCTCTCTCTCTCTCTCTCTCTCTCTCTCTCTCTCTATCTCTCTCTCTCTCTCTCTCTCTCTGCCAGTCTAATATTGGACTTTTCACAATTAAAAATAGCACTAATTAACTAGTTCACACCTATGCACTTATATTATTTATGGGCAAACGCAACATTCATTACTGTCGCTCTGCATTCCTATTGGGCTTTCAGCGCTTTGCCGCTGGCTCCACTGCAAAGTCGCAGAGCTTTCCACGCCCAGCGATAAGATAAAGCTCTTATCTCTTATCTGTATCGACTGGCAGTGAGTGTCGCAGCAAACGAATTCAATAGCCAACTGTTGGCAGTAGTTCGGTCAAACGCAAACCCTCCATGACGAAGCCGCTAACGTTGACAATGACGAAGAGATCGCACTTTGCTCTCAGTTGGATAGCGATCTGCGTGCTGCTCCTAGTAAGCTCCAGCCAGAGCGAACTCATCGATGCCAACGATGAGGATGTGGATCGCTTTTGCTATCCGGCCGCACACAAGAACAGTCGCCTGAGCTGCGAGTGCAGCAATGTGAGTGCCTCGCCCTGGGGCATGCGGGCGCTGCACATCGATTGCAGCTACAAGGACTTCCAGGCCGAGGATCTGACGGCGCTGCTGCCGCTCTACATTGACACGTTGGATCTGTCCTGGAACAAGCTGAATCGTGCGCCCGCCTTCAACAGCGATAGCCTGCGCATGCTCAACCTGATGCACAACAACATCAGCACCATCTCCGCCAGCAATTTCGCTGCCATCGTCAGCCTGAAGGAGCTTTATCTGGGCTGGAATAGCATCCAGCTGCTGGAGCCGCAGGCTTTTGCCGGCTTGCCCCATCTGCAGGTCCTGAACTTGGCTCACAACAATCTGCATGCGCTGCCCGCCCAGATCTTTGCCCCACTGCTGGTGCTCCAGACACTGGAACTCTCGTGGAACAGGCAGCTCAACCAGACCAATGGACTGGAGCTCTATGGCACCTATGGCATCAATCCTAAGCTGAACGCACTGCGTCTGGATGCCTGCGGCTTGAGTGAGCTGAAGCTGCCGATCGATGCGCCTCTGCGTGAGCTGTCGCTGCGTCGCAACCTCTTCGTGCGTGTGCCCAGCCAGCTGCCCAGGCAACTGGAGCGCCTGGACATCAGCGAGAATCTGCTGGAGAAGCTGCTGCCGGTGGATGCGGCCAATCTTAGCCAGCTGCAGCAGCTCTATGTGGAGGATATGCCGCAGCTGGAGGGCATCGCCGCCCACGCATTCGCCCAGCTGCATCAGGTGCAGGCCATGAGCTTCCAGAACTGTCGTCGCCTCAGCTGGTTGGACGGAGACGCCTTCATTCCGGCCGAGGGCAACGTGACGTTGCCGCCGTTACGCACGCTCAGTTTTCGTGGTACTATGTTGCGCAATTTTAATGTCAGCCTGTCACCGGTTTTTGGTAAACTTACCCAGCTGGATCTCAATGGTGTGCCGCTTCACTGCGACTGCCAGCTAGTCTGGCTCAAGGATCTGGCGATCCAGACGAACGGACGCTGCCTGCGCCCGGCCAGAATCCGGGGCATGCTCGTCTCCTCGGTGCGTCGCGATGAGTTCAGCTGCGAGAGATGGCCCAGATGGGCATACGGCTTGATTATACTCGCTCTCATCGCCCTCTGTGCCGCGGGCGTCTATCTAATTGTGATGGGACTGCGACCGCATCGAGGTGTCACCATGCGCCGCAAAGTGGGCGCCGGCAGTCCCTATGCTCGAGTCACCATCGAACCCAATCGCCAAGAGAACTTTCACTGAACAAGCAACAACAAGCAAATCTACTTTCAGTCTAGACTAAGCCCCTGACTAACTAACTTAAGTCTGTGTTACAATTTTTCTATAAACATACATACAACTTAATTATATTTATGTTTGCTTATACGTATTACTGTTTATCGAAACAGGTGTTTAATCATTGATAGCTGCGCGGGCTGTTCCAGAAGTTTGCAGAAGTGACGATCACTACACAAGCGGTTGCTAGTGCAGCTTTCTTTGACACCTTACGACTATGTTAATTAACAGCGGTGGGCTGTTGTGTTATGTATGTTAACTAACAGCAGTAGGTAGATTTATTATGTAAATTATGAAGTTTGTCAAGCCTGAACATTCGCTGACGTGTGTTGAATAACACATTTACAAACAACAATTATATTTAGTATTTTAACTATAGATCTATTATTAAATTTTGCTATGCTAAAGAACTTAGTTATATATTTGGCATGATTTATACATATAAAAATATACAAACTTAAAATCAAATTTTTCTTAATATTTATTTTGGTTAGTTAGAGTTAAAATTCTCTCAAACTTTGCAGACCACCCTCTATAAATATATTAAAAACTAGCTTATCTATGCCATAGACTTATCGAAGCAGCCGATGAGTGTTGGCTATTTGAAAATGATTATGAATTATTTGATTCTGAGTTCCTAAAGTAAACAATATGGTAAACTTTAGGAGTGCAAAGAGAGAAACAAAAAAAAAAAAAAATAAAAAGCTCTTTTTTTATTATAATCTAAAAATATTAATCGCAATACCAATAATTATAATAGAAATTTATGTATACAGAGACATTTTATTAGTATAAAATATAAAATTATAATACTTATTGTGGGATAGAATTCCAGTAAAAATTAAATTAATTTTGAAAAAACCTTTTAGATCCAATCCAAATCCAATTCAATGGTGAACAACAGAGTATGTTAATTAAGTTAACATAATATTTATAACAACTTCAGGAGTACACCGCATGTCGGCCTCTGACTCTGCCTCTAATATCATTCTCCTCAGTAGTATAGCTAATGGAATTATTGTCAAATAGCTGTGGACCAAATCAATTCAATTATATGCATAAATAGAATCGAACTCAGCTGGAATTGCTTTAATATGAGCTAAGACTATGTCGAGTCGATATCTGTTACTGTTGCTGTTTGGTTGTGCTGGGATCCTTGACTATGCCAATGCCAGAAAATGCATGCTAAAGGAGCCACTCATATACGAAGAGGCCGACTACTGCACGGAATCGCAACCGCACTTGGGCTGCAATCATAATCAGGTGAATCAGATCAGGTTTAACGAACTAAATAGTAACAAGCTGCTTGGCTTTACAGAAATTCGGCGCACATTGCCAAGCAACAGCCAGGCTGCTCGAGATTAAACCGGAATTGTCGAAAGCCATCGTGAGGCAAATGAATGTCTATCGCAATATCGTGGCAAAGGGCGGACTTCCCAACCTACCGACAGCTGGGCGTATGAATAAACTGGGCTGGGATGAATCTTTGGCCAAATTGGCTGGTCTGGCGGCAATGCGTTGCGTCCTCGATCCGATCAAGAGAAGTTTCACAGCCACGCACGCCTCGAAGCCGGGCTACACGGCGATCCTTACCAAATATCCCACAAGCCAGAAACAGACTGTTCGTCAAATAATGTACTCGCATCTAAAGACATTTTACAATCAGCACATTCATATAACTCCGACGAGTCTCCTGTCGGGCGAAGGGCGAAACGGGTGAGAATAATACAGAGTTGATTTGAATTCATATGCGATTTGAATTTACATTTCTGAATTTCATATTTTTGCCAGTCGGGATGTTTCACATTTCCTGCAACTCATAACCGGCATGAACTCTCGCGTCGGCTGTGGCATTGTGATCTTCCATGAAAAGGAGTGGACAGTCCAGTTGATGATCTGCCTTTATGGCTGCAACAAGCACCCGAATACTTTCACATATTCTATAGGACAGACACCCAAAATTTCCTGCGCTTGCCCCGACACCGATCAAGAATTCAAAAACCTTTGCCCATATAACGTTGTTGATGAGGATTGCGGTCTATTAAATGAAGAAGGTTTAACCACAACGCCTAAGCCAAAGCCCGCTCTCGACATTATAGAATATTTCTAGAGTTGATCACTTGTAGAGCGTCTTAAATTCAATGAGACGCTTCATTGTTGGTTCCGTGTAGAATTTCAATCTAGGCTGTCACATATTAGATCAGGCAATTCATGTACATAAATCCAATCAAATAAAACAAAAATAGGAAAAAATTTTTAATTCTGTACAATTTGTAATCGATAATAAAAAAAGGGGAAGTAGTTATCGATCTTTGAAAACAAACTCGATCTAGGCGTAGTAAATATTAACCTAAAAAATCTAGATCTCTAATTCTTAATCTTTTTCAAACATACCCACGGACGGTTAGAAAGAATGACGAACAGGGCGAAATCGACTCAATTCGTCGCCCTGATCAAGTATACATATATATAGTTTATAGGATTTTCCACGCCTCCTTCTGCCTGTTACATACATTTAACTAAGCCAGTATACCCAAATTTCCCATTTTCAGTGAGTTCAATGGGTATAAAAACTAAAGAATTTGAATACCTTAACTTTTATCACAGTCGTTATGGCGCCATCTACTGTTCAATGGGTTTTTTTTTCAATCTTTAAATTATACAACTTGGTCTTTAATTATAAGTAAATATTATTTAGATTTTTATTCAATTATAAGTATTTGAGTGTATTTCTTATTATATTATTATTATTCATAAATAAAACGAATTTAATTTTCTGCGCAATTGTAATTGAATATTCATTTGATATTTATGCTCGAATTTAATTTGGCTTTGATGGCTTTTATGATGAATGTTGTATATGTGTTGCTTGTTGACTGTGAAGTGTTTTTATCGATCGCCATTAATTGCGTAGCTGGCATTCAGCATTAATAATTGAGGCACTCATTATTGTCATCGACATTTATTTATTCGCATTCCCAAGTGTTTGGATGGCTCATAAATCTTTCCAGCCACATTCTCCAACCTCTCTCTTAGTCTCACTCAGGACTTCAATCTGTAGGTCTGTCTGTCTGTCGGTCCACTTTTGTATTTATGGCCAAGAGTATTAAAAACTTTATTATTATTAATATTGCGTTTCGAATCGCGCACAATTGACTGAACAACTCTGACCCAACAAATTGTATTTGTTTACAGACCCCGCCTGAGTGCGATTCCTGAATTCAATTCAATTGATTCCCACATGCCGGCAGCCAAATATTTGTTAATCTCTGCAACTGCAGCTGCGTTTTCAATTGCAATCGGAGCATGCCACGCATTGAAAGCAAAATATTATATAACATTTTTTTCATTTTAAATATTTCAAAAATAAATAGTGAAAATATTTTTACTTCAATTAAATGCAAACTATATATTTACAAAAAGATAATAAAAATGTAGTGATAATATTTGTACTTGAATGGAAACCCGTTTTCAAGCACTTTAATAAATTATTTAAAACTAATTATAAAAAATGATAATAAAATAGTATAATATTGTTTTAATTTTGTTTGTTCTTAGCTAAAAAATTAAAACAAAACCATAAAAAAAAAAAAATTAAAAAAAAAAAATAAAAATAAAAAAACATTTATATCGAATTTTTAATTGAATACGCCTCAAGTTGACGGATCGGATATAGAATTTTTTGATTCCAGGGTATACACTAGTATATATTCCAAATTTCCAGTCATACAGACAGACAGACAAACAGTTCTTTCCATTAACTAACTTTAACTTTTTAGATTCTTAAAAAATATCTACATAATTTTTCTTAAACCAAACTTTCAGTTCATAAAATAAAAATTGTCTAAAATGTAACTTTAACTAAGAAATAAATCAAGCAACTTTTAATAGCAAATATTCCTAAAGACTTCCGTAGGAATATACTCGAAATATACTTACGTCGGTACATATATRTATATAAACATCATTTCGTCTTTCGACAGGGTTATTTGCTAATTAAATTAACGCCAAATAGCATTAAAATTCTTGAATTTAATTAAAATTCACGTCTTAAAGCTAAGACGTTACATTGCTGTTGTTGTTGTTGTTTTTGTTTGCTGCTTAGGGCTATGGGACTTAACTATAAGTAAATTTAGTGAGAGCTCTGTTGCCATTCCAATTGATGGATATCTAGACGAGCGTCGAGTGAGTGGAACGCGCATTGTTGTTGGTAAAACAATTGACATTTTAAATGTCAATTTTGATGCGTTTTTAAACCAAACACAATTCAAACTGAGCGCAAACTTCAACGACAGTTTTTAAGACTGAAGACTGTCTGTCCCTGTGTATGTGTGAGTGTGTGTGTGTGACACAGTGCCTCAGCCTATTGCGTGTGTGTGCGTGTGGGTGTACGTTCGTGTGAGCATAAGCAGCCCTGGTTGTTTACTCCGAAACGGGCACAGTTTACAAGCAGAGCGTACAGTGGCACAAAAAATGAGAAACTGATTAAAAATTTGCTTAAAGATTATCTACATATATAGGGTATAAAAGCAAGGAGATAAAAATATATATAATGGAAATTTTACATTTCAATTAAAAATTA